TGTGTGTGTGTATGTGTGTGTGTTACTTGGGATTGAACCCAGGGGTGCTCTACCACTGAGCTACACCCTCAACCCTTTTTGATTTTTTATTTTGAGAAAGGGTCTGGCTAAATTGCAGAGGCTGCCTTGGCCTTCAGATTCTCTGGGATTAGAGGCATGGGTCCTAGTGTCTTCATTTCTTCAGCGCCCTCTCTTCCCACCCTTGTGGCCCATGATGGGAAGTTATTTGCTCATGTGGAAGCTCCTCTCCTGCCCTCCTCCCCCACCTACTCCAGCCCCTCACCCTCGTTGTTCTCAGGAATTGCCAAGGGCTGGGAAAACACTTGCCACAAAACATAGGCTTAGAGGCAACTAGGACTCATAGCCCAGTTCTGTTCCTTGGGGAACACTGGCATCTAGAGGAATCCCAGCCTCCAAGTCCTCTACCCCCATGGGCCGGTCACTGTTTCCATCAGTCCCACTGGGCCCCAGCTCAGGGGAAGACAGCCACTCACCAGGATGGACAGAATCACAGGCCCTCGAATGACCCACCAGATGGAAGCATTGGCATTGATGTCCCAACACCTGTGGGACAGAGAGAGGGAGGGACAAGGAGCACTGTCAGGAGGGGGAAGCTGGACTACCCAGCCAATGCCGTTCCCCAGGCAACCTCGGACATAGCCTCAGGTTTGTGGCCCGAGCCCTGTGTGCCCAGCACTGTTAGAACCTGCCCCTCTCCTGTATCTCAGGAGCAGGGCTGGGGCACAGGGAGCAGCCACCTATCTCCACGGAATTTACTGGAACCTAAGAGACTGGGGACCCCAGGATCCCAAAGCTAGCCTGTCAGAATTCACTGGGGCTCACAGTGGCACACTCAGCTGTCAGCAGGGGCCAGGCACAGAGCATCGGTGAGTGAGGTGGCACGGTGACTGGCTTGGGACCTCAGGATCCCAGGACATCAGTCTTGAGGGGAACCTGGTCAGAGAGATGCGCCTAGTCCAAGGCAACTGGAACAGAGTTTAATTGGTTGGGTTTATTTGTTTTTGTTTTTTTCCACAAAGGAAATGAGAAGTGCTAATAGAACTTTCCACTTTTTCTAGAGAGGTGGAAATTTTTTTCCCACAAAGAAAATGAGAAATTCTAATAGAACTTTCCATTTTTTTTTCTTGAAAGGAGGGAGGGTTCCTTTTTTTTTTTTTATAGAGCAGGAGGCCACCTACTCACTTGCCCAGGTGGCCTCCAAACCCTGGGCTCAAGCAATGCTGACTCCCTCTCCAGAGTTGCTGAAACTGCAGGTGTACAACCCTGTAACCAGCCAGATTTATTTTTTCTTAAAAAAGTAAATTCACTCATTTTTAAAAAGTGGATTTGAAACCATTATTTGGGGCAGAGTTTGAACTATAAGACACATACAAACTTCATCCCCCAGCCCACTTCTTGGCCTGGTGGCATCCTACCTACCATGCTGCCTCAAAACATTTCCCGTGCTCACCCGCAGGTGGGCCCCTTGGGCTTAGTCCACCTGCACTTCACTCCTTTATAGATCAAGACCAGAGCTCTGGTTTGTCCAGGTCACTGCCACACCCAGGAGGTGAGAATGGTGCTACCCTCAGGGCTCTTAAACCTGCAGGGGAGGGAGGTGTCCTCTACTGAGCAGCAGCTGCCTGGAGTACTGCAGTCTGGCCCCTGATCTAAGCACAGAGCTGACCCTGCAGGCACAAAGACAGGAGACTGCAGGTGTGGCCCATCTGGAAACACACCTGGAGAGTGAGAAGCACAGCTCCAGAGAACTCGCCTGGGCCTCTCATCTGAAACAGCAGGCCTTTCCTAGAGAGCTCTAAAGACAGCTCCTAGATAGCTCCAAGGGCTGGACCCCTGGGCAGAATCATGGAGCCTGTGGAGACAGTTGGTGGGTCCCCCCTCCTGAACTGGAATTGATTTTTATTAAAATATTGGTTTGTTAGAAGCTCAACTGTGCTGTTTGAAGAAAGAAACAATGTCAAGAATAGTTCCCTCTCAGCATCCACAGGAGATGAGTTCCAGGATGCTCCACAATACCGAAACCCACAGATGCTCAAGTCCCTTCAATAAAATCATATAGTATTTGCATATAATTCTACATATATTGTCCTGTACACTTTAGATGACTTAGAATACCTAATACAATGTACATAACTATCCTACTATATTGTTCAGGGAATAATGACAAGGACTATAAGTCGGTACATCTTCAGTGGAGACCAACTTTTCATTTTTCAATTCAAGTTTGGCTGAATTGGTGGGGGGGCAGAATTCTGTCTACAAATTCTTGGTAACTCTCCTTCCAACAGCTTACCCGATGTCTTCCAGAAAGTGCCTGGTGATAGCCCACGAAGCAACGAAAACAGCTGGAGAACCTGAGGGTTAAAAACAAATTGGGAAGGGGGAAGAGAGGACTCAGACTTCAACAGAGGAACAGGTCGACTCTAGCCCAGGTGCTGAGCCAGTGCCAAGATTTGGTTCCCACAGAAACCCCTTTGCCATCCTGTGTCTCTGTGTAGCCACATGCTTCAAAGGTGCTGGGATGTTCTGGGAGAGGAGGCAGGATTGGATGAATCCTGAAAGCTGCTTGGGGTTAGGAGCATCCTGGGAGCCTGGGCCAGACTCCATGGACCCCTGGGCAGAATCATGGAGCCTGTGGAGACAGTTGGTGGGTCCCCGCTCCTGAACTGGAATTGATTTTTATTAAAATATTGGTTTGTAAGAAGCTCAATCATCTAACTGGTAAGGTAAACCATCACTGCCGTATTGACACAAAAATACACAGATAAGAGAAAATTTTCATGAGTTTAAAAGATATAGGGAACATTTCCTGACTTCTGTTTAAAGACAGCAAACTGAGCTTAGATATTTATTTCTCTTTTCCCCAAAGCCCCTCCAAAATGACAGCAAAGAGATAGAAATGGGTCCGAGGCTGTAGCTCAGTGGCAGAGTCCTTGCCTAGTGTGTGGGGGCCTTGGCTTCTAGCTGATATACCTAGCCTAGTTTTCTCATTAGATCAGAAGCCAGCTTGTCACAAGTTATGAAGGATTCATTTCTGTTTTCTGTAAAAATATCAGGATGTCTGTATGGCCTGGCCATTATTTGATGTTGTAAAGCTGATTGGAATGCCTGCCCGTGCCCTGAACTCACCCAGGTCCGGTTTTCCCTGACCATATAACAACCCTTTCCTAAACCTTAGTGACGCCTCATAAATTCTGGCCTTCCCTGGCCGGATAAGGACCCTCTCTGAGTCTCTAAGATCTCCATAAATTCTGATGCCGGGGCCAGCAAAAATGTAAACTTGTGTTATGCTCCTCAGAGTGTTGTTATCTGTAACCCCCCTTTGTGTAACTTTTTGGGCTATAAAACTGGGCCACAAAGAAGCCTCGGGGCTGTCCATGGCTCCCACGATTTTGAGGGGCAAGGCAGCCCGGCCGGTCGAAATAATAAGCTTGCTTTAATTTGATTTTAATTGGAGTCAGTGGTCTTTTCTTGAGTCGTGGTCTAACATAGCCTCAACGCCACAGAAAGAAAAAAGAAAAAAAAAGTGGCATAATCAGAAGCACAAAGACTAGGAAGGAAAGGTGGAGTGGACAAGAGGTGTCACGACATTTAGGAACAGAGAAAGCTGATTGAGGAATGACAACTGGGTCCCAGCCCCCTTGTCTCACCACACCCAAAACGTAAAAGGATTCTTTCCTGGAGGAACTGAACAGCCCCAGAAAAAAAAGGGGCCTAAAATCAACAGTGCTGGGACCCTTCAGCACAGTGGCCACTTCAGCCCAGTCTCCCAGCCCCTCTCCAGCGCCTCTGGTCAGTTCCAAAGTGACTCAGCCAAAGTCAAGTCACCCACCTCTGATTACATAAAAGACTAGAAACAAAACAACCAGAGAAAAGGAACTCAGAGAAACAGACCATGCCAGGAGCAGAAGGAGCCTGAACAAATAAGATGGTGCCTACAAGATACAGACAGGATCCTGCAAACCAGGAGCAATCCGAGGGTAAGACAGAGGGCTTTGAAACTAAACACAGGGTGACCAAGTACAACATTCAAAAGATGGGTTGGGAGATAAAGACCAGGAATCTCCCTGAGAGCAGAGCAAAAAGACAATGGAATGCAAAGTAGGAAATTAGAAAATTAGAGGTTTTTTCCAGGCCAGGCACCATCTGACTAAAAGGAGTTTCAGAAAAGAGAAAAAAAAAAAAATGAAGGAAAGAAATGATTCATCAGATAATCCAGGATCATCTTCAAGAAATGAGGACTAGAGTTTGCAGATGAAAGGGCCACCACATGCCAGCAAAATGAATGAAAGGAGATCTGCACTGGAGCACATCCCCACCCCCTCCACCCTGACATTGCTAACTACAGAGAGAAAATCCCCTACGTATTTGTTTGTTTCCTTATTTATTTTTTGCAGTGCTGGGGATGGAACCCAGGACCTTGTGCATGCCACGTAAGTGCTTCACCACTGAGCTACACCCCAGCCCTTGCATTTTATACATAGGAAGGTAAATAAAAAGTCTCAAGAAGGACATGGCACCCCTCCATAAAACCAGAGGTCAAAACACAAAGTCTTTGAAACTTGAGAGGAAAATGATTTTTTGACCTGATATTTTATGTCCAGCAAAATGACAAATTAGTTGTGAAAGTAGAATAAAGACATTTTCAGATGTGCGTTGCAAAATATAAAAATAAATAAATAAATAAATAAATGAATAAATAAATTGATAAATAAAATGTTTCCTCCAGATCCTGTTTGTCAGACAGATACTGGAGGATGTGCTCCAACACAATGAGGGAGGAAATCAAAGAGAATGAGACAAGAAATAAAGGAAATAGGATTTGTGACAGAAGGTGAAGAGAATTCTCTGCATGAAGAGTAAGACAGCTGAGCAAGTCTAGGAAACCACTAGACCCAGTCAAGCATGAGGGAAAAAAGCTCTAGAAAAAACAGTAGCAGATATATTGGGTTAAATAGCGCTGCACCCCCCAATCCAGGTCTAACCAGAACCTTGGAAGGTGCCCGTATTTGGAATTAGGGTTGTAGTTAATGTCATTAGCTAAGATAAAGTCCTGTTGAATTGGGTGGGCCCCTACTCCAATACAATTGGCACACTTAGAAGGCCAGAAGACATGCTGGGAGGAAATGTAGAGGAGGAAGACCACAGACAGACAGACAGACAGAAATGGGGATGATGTGGCTATCAGCCAAGGAATGCCAAGGACTACCAGCTACCACTCAGGAACAGGAGAGAGGCATGGATCAGATTGTCCCTCACAGTCAACCCTGCAAACCCCTTGATTTCAGACTTCTGATCTCCAGGACTTTGAAAGAGTAAATTTATGTTGTGTTGAGCCACCAACTTGGTGATAATGTATTAGGCAGCCATAGGAAATTAATACAGCAGGAACAAATGGAAAGAAACATAAAAGTTGTTAGAATTGAAGTGAACTCACCAGGTCAACCCTAACAAAAATAAATAAATAAGTTGAGAGGTTAGAAATAAAAGGTTCTTGCTCATAATTGCCTGATAGTGTCACAAAAGACTGCCAGGACCACAAGTTTGCACAGCGACTAGAAGAAGTAATTCTACAAGGACATTTGCCCAGGGACTGTTCACCTTGGAGGGAGCCACTCTTGTTATTAGTCATCCTGGCCAAAGATCATATCTCATATAATCCTCTCTCTCTCTCTCTCTCTTTTTTTTTTTTTTTTTTTACCTCCTGGTTTCAACTCTTTGAACAAAGTCACAGTTTACTGTGGCACACATATTCCCATTGCCAATGCCATTCCCCCAAAAATGTCATTGTTTTTTATTTCTCTGATTTTCTCAAAATTTAGGTTGACAAACCATATAGGCACTGAGATTTCCTGTTAACATTTGATGATTTGGAAAATAGTATTGGAGGGTTTTTCAGAGAATTCGGGAGAATCAGTGAAAGTGATATAATAAAATACTGATAAGCAAATAAAAAAACTCAACTCCCAGAAAAATAAAATGCTAAATAAATGGAAGGATAATTGTTGTGTACCACTTGGCTCCGTAGTAAACAATATTCACATAGATATGAGCAAGTATATTAATTCACTAAACAATTTTGGGCCTGTGGTGAGACAGACAGTCCTGGCAGGCAGGGCGTTACCAAGCAGGCTGCTCCTCTCAAGGCACCTGGGAAACAGTGAGAGGAAGGGACTGGAGACAAAAGATAGTCCCCAAGGGCATGCTCCCAGGGACACACTCCTTCCAAGTCCCCAGGTCCCACCTCCTACAGTTTGCACCATCTCCTGATAGTTCATTCAGCTATGAACCCATCAGTGGATTAATCCAGTGATGAGCCCTGATGATCCAGCATTTCCTAAAAGCCCCATCTCTGAACACTGCAATACTGGGGACCAAGCCTTCAACCCATGAGGTTGCAGGGTTGCAGGGGTCACTTCATATTCAAGCCCTTGGGACCTGGGAACTTGATAGACATGCACAGTCCTGGGTCCCACCCTACACCCACTGACCCAGAGACTTTAGGGGCCAGCAAGCCAGGTTGGACATGTGCCACCCCGCAGTGATTCTGAGGCAGAATCATCAGACCTACCACATGTTCAGGTTCATGGACCAAGTGGGAGCTTGGTTCATCTCCTAGAAAAGCTGAGCTATCATTCTTTTTTGGGCATAGAGTGATACTTCAGACACTTTGAAAAAATAAAACCTTGAATAAGTATTGAAAACTTTAAATGAGTTCACTTCTTTTGACTCAGTAATCCAAATGCTGGGATTTTGTATTATAGAGGGAAAAAAGCTTTGCCCATAAAGTATTCATCACTGTGCTATTTCTAATAGTGAAGCTGGGTGCAGTGGTGCTGGGCTCCCTACTGCTTGGGAGACTGAGACAAGAGGGTCACTGAGCCCATGAGTTCAGGAGCAGCCTGGACAACATATAGAGACCCAGTCTCAAAACAAACAAACAAACAACAACAACAACAAAAAAAAACCCAAAAGAATACACACACACACACACACACACACACAAACAAACACAAACAACACATAGTGAACACTTAGAAAAATCTGAAATGTCCAAACAATAGCTATTTGGTTAAATGCATTTACAATGGTAATTTAAAATGTGGATGATTTGAAATAATTCAGAATATGCTTATGTGTTCATGAGAAAGAAGCAAGTCTCAAAATTCTTCATAAGGAATGACCACAACTACATGAGAAAAAAAAAATTGCTGGTAGAATAAAGTCTGGAAGAAAATTCCAGAAAATGTTTGTATATGGGACTAGGATAAGTTTCCGTACTTAAAAAGGATTTTTTTTCCCAATTTTACGGCAGCATATACTCATTTAATTAACTTATGCCTGGGGAAGCCAATATAAATTGTGGAGGGGGCCACTATTTTTGTATTTGAAAGTCTCCTCACACATTGAAATAACATTGCTCAACAGTAAGCCATACTTACATAGATATAATAATGTAAATATGATTTAACTAAATATTATGAATACCCACAATGGAAGAATGAGAGTAGTGGATGAAAAATTTTATATCCTTATCTTTCATCATAAGGAGGTAACCAATAATACTTCAAATCAAGGAAGAATAGCAGAGTCTTTAGAAACATGAGAGTAATTATTAGGAGGGACAGCTAAAATCGCTGAATCCCTTCACCATCCCTTTTTTCCCCCATGTTTTTATAATCTCCAAACACAAAGAAGTGCTCAAAGAATGTTGAGTAAATTTTGACCCTGATATTATAGAGGAAAAACGCTCCATGTCCACACAGCTAATCCTGGCAGATCTGGACTTCAAAGTTCAAAGAGCTGAGCTCCAAATTGGGTGCTTTTTATCAGAGTTAGCTGCATAAGATAAGTCCCTGGTCCCCAGGCCTCTGGAACTGCTGTCCGAGGCAGACATCTGTAGAGCCCTACAGCCGGTGCTGGCTGAGGGTCATGCGCTCGTCAGGCTGCCAAGGTTTAGAAGAAATGCACTCTGCCAGCTCAGGTGGCCTCCCTGCTGGTCTGATGGGGAGACCAGGCCCTTGCACATAAGGATTTAGACAAGCAGAAAAGGCACAGGAGGGCATTCCTGGCAGGAACCCTTCTTAATTAAAGGAACAGGAAGAAATTGCATGAATCTAATGGCTGGGACACATACTGTCTTTGCAGACCTGGGAATCAGCACAGGAACCTGGCTCTCTGACTAGAACCCAGTGGGTAACTAACACATGTCTTTATCAAATAAATGATGGAAGGATGGATGGGTGGGTGGGTGGATAGGTAAATGGATGGAAGTTTGTTAATGATAAAGTAAAAATTAAAAGGCTTTGGATATTAACAAGCCTTGGTTTGGATCCTGGGTCTGCTCTTGTCTATGGGGTGAATTGAGCATAGTATGTTCCATCTCTGAGCTGAGGTCTCTGAGAAGCTTTTGGGATGTTATGATGATTAAGTGATGCATATATGCCTGACCAGAAATGGAGTTCCTTGGCCAGAAAGGCAAGGAGGAAGAGATGTAATGGGGGCCTGCAGGTGGCTGTCTTGCTATCATTTCCCCTTTGATAAAATAAATGGTGAACTTCCTTTGGGAAGCCATGTGGTTTGAGCAGTTTATGCCAATCAGCATATTCCAGTCCTTCAGCCTCTATGATTGGGTCAAGGATGTGCATATGATTGAAGAGGTCCAATCCAAGTGAATCTTAGAATATTTGTTGGGACTGCTGGGACCATAGTCTTTCTTTCTCATTGGAGCTGGGTTATAAAAAGCCCGTAGCCCAAAAGCTATAGGCAATTACTCTGGGAGTTGCAGGTGAAGGATAAATCTGATGTTCTAAGACACAGAAAGAATCACTGTTAAAATGCTAGATTCATCCTGGTCTAAAGTTGGCAATCCCCAGCCTTTTTAGTTGCATAAGCCAATTAGTTTCTTTTATGTTTAAAGTCTACCTGAGCCAGACTTGACACTAGCAGTCAAAATCATCGTGATTCAGAAAGGAAGCAAGAAAGATGACATGTAAATGGAAGATGAGGCCACAAGTATTGGGTGGAACCAAATTGTAAAAGGACTCCGATGCCAGAAATTGGTGCCCAATTTTAGCTATTATTTCCCATTCAACAGATAAACTAGAAAGAGCCAAACATCAAGCAACTTGCAGAAGATTACAGAAATTAGTTTAATATGAAGCTGGATCAAGAAAAGAAATCCTTTCTACTTAAGGCCCTCTCCTGCGTGCTGCACAGACACCACACTGTGGAGAAACATACCCCATCCAAGGGCTATGAATCCCTGCAGGCACTTCCTTTCCGAGAAGAAGGAGATGACGAGGAGTGTGTGGAGGTAGAGGCCTTCCACCAGCAACCAGGCGTAGTTGGCCATGATGCAGTACTGGAAGAAGATCATAACCAGCTTACAGCCCACCTGGACAGAGAAAGGCAGGTGAGTCCAGGTCAGGTGGCCTTGGTTTCCCTCTGGTGACCAACCCAAAAGGAAAAAGCTCTGGGTTATAGGAAGCAGGAGCCAGGCCACAGTGAGCCTCAAGTTTCGGAGCCAACTCCTGTGGCCTTCCTGTCAGAAGACCAAGCAAGCCCACAGCATTCTCTAGAGAGTAAAAGTCCACAGGCCACATGGGTTTTGTCAAGATGGTCAATGAGCCATCTATAGGGAAGCAGTAACTGGGTTCAAATTCTGGAACTGGCTGCCAGACTTTATAAGGAAGAGTCTCCTTCAGTGGGAAAATGCCCCATATTACTTAACCCCTCTCATTTTTCTGATGAGGAAACTAGTTTAGAGAGGGAAGGAATTTCTGAGCCAAGGGTAACAAAACTCATTCCAAGCTCACTTTTCATGGAAATAAGGACGAAGGGGCGTGCCAACCACTATTAGGAGGCATCATTGATGATGACTAAAATGGCCCTGACTGGTTCATTATACCTGGACTAGAAAATTCCAAATCCTGACAGGGATGCCATGGTGTAGGGTTCTCCTGATGGAGCTACTTCTTTAACATTAAGAGGCAGCCCTAGACCTAGCGTCATGGCACACACCTGTAATCCCAGCAGCTTGGGAGACTGAGGTAGGAAGATCATGAATTCAAAGCCAAACTCAGCAAAAGCAAGGCACTAAGCAACTCAGTGAGACCCTGTCTCTTAAAAAACAACAAAATAGGGCTGGGGATGTGGCTCAATGGTGGAGTACCTCTGAGTTCAACCCCGTTGCCCACATCACCCCCCAAAAAGCAGGCCTAGCTGTACCCTAGGGGACCCAGCCATGTTACCCTGTGGGTATCACAATAGGTGACGTCATCTGAGGAGAAGAGCACAGCATCTTTGATGAAGTTGGACAGGGCACGCAGGATGAAGGACACGAACAGGTGCATGTGGATGTAGTTGCGGGTGCAGTGGAGCCTCCTGGAGGGACAGATTGCAAGGCTATAGGGGCCAAAGCCAGGAAGGGCTGGAACTCAGCCAGGCCCTCCTGACCCCAGCGCATCCGAGAAGCCGGACATCAGCTTCTTCCAGTTCTCACTCGTCTCTGTGAACAGAACCTGAATGAGAACCCCAGTGCATTGTCTCATAACTGCAGGGTTGGTTGGTTTGTTTGTTTGTTTGTTTAGCGAAGGTTGTAGGGGCAATATACTTTCTGCCATCTCCCAGAATTGCTTCCTCTGCTGTAGAAACAAAAAATGTGGTTACGTATTCCCCTTCTGCTACAAAATGCAGGATTTCTCAAAGAGAGCCCATTCTAGCTCTTGCGGAAGATGACTCCGCCCTCCTCACGTTTGAGTCAGATTCGACCAATCAGCGCTCCATCTCTGACTGTACTGATTGGTTCGGAGGTTGAACACGTGATCCAAGCTGAGCCTATGAGAACTCCCTTCCCAGGACTTTTGCTAGAACTGATGGGGAAGAGGTTCACTTTGCCCTTGGCTTTGCTGAGCTGATAGCGCTTGCCCTTGTCGCCTCTGGTGGTTATCTTTACCATTTCTGAAGAAAGGCTGCCAGAGAAAGAGGAAAGTCCAGAGCAGAGAAATGCAGGAAGACTTAGTTTTGCTGATTGCCTCTGAGCATCTGCCTTCCATCCAGCCATGCCTAAAGCATGTGCCCCTGAACTTGTCAATTATGTGGGTCAGGTCACCTTTGTTTTCTTCAGTTGTTTTGAAGCAGATTTCTGTCTTTTGCAACCAGGAGTCAAACCAGACACCTATAAAGTGTCTCTTATAACATTGTGAGAATATTAGTAATAACATTTCTTAAAAAAAAAATCTGGCAACATTATCAGTATGCTTAGCAAGTGTTGAATTCGAGTAAAGGAATGCAGTGGTCACAGGAACTTTATATTTTGGCACAGGTGAGCTTTATATGGAGAGGCGACAAGCCAGCCCACCCACACCTTCCTCTTTCTGACCTGAGCAAGTAAGACCCAAAGTTGGCTGGAGGATGGAAAACCAGCAGCATGTTCTTACCGTAAAGCACAGAGAATGCTGAGAGCAACAAGGAGCATCACCAGGGAGGAGCTGTAGCCCACGGTGTACATGACCTTCAGCTTCAGCAGGTAGGCATGCTGCAGAGAGAGCCACATATCAGCCAACCACCCACCTGCTGACCCTTATGTGCCCCAGTGCCTATGCTTCAGGCAGCTTGAGCCCAACTGTCCTGAGTGCTATTCCATTTGTGCCCCAAGGATGTCACATCACAAACTGGTAAGATCATAACAGCTTGACTTTGGAAAAATTTGGAGTATCCTCTGATGCCTATTCAAACTTGCACATTGTGTACAGAGCCCTTACCAACACTCTGAACTCAAGTCTTCTCTTGAATATGTAAGAATAAGGTGCTCACTGCCTTTTTAGGAAGTTATCTGGAGCACAACAGTATAAAATGTTAGATTTTTTTTCTTATATGAAGCTAAAATTGGCTTTAATATTGCAGCTGTGAGTGCTTTTTCTTCCTTTTGGAGCCATTTAAATTAAATTCACCTTGAACATTAGATGTATTATATAGAAGAGTTAGGAAGATACAGAGAGGTCTGTCATTTTCCAACAAAGCAGTTCTGCACATCTGTCCTTCACTTATCTTCTCGGCATTTATTCTGTGTTCTTAATCTCCTTCCACAATTCTTCATCATTCAGATCAATGAATATGCTCTAGTTTGTCAATCTCCTTAGATAAGACACCCAGAACTACATAGCTCGAAAGCTCCAGATATATTCTCCAACAAGGAAGAAGCAGAATGGGACCACCACCCCCCTGATCTGCACACTGTGCTCCTCTTAATGCAATCAATCGAGCATTTACTTCTTCAGTAGCCACTTCACACTGTTGGCTCATCTCTGATACCAATGTCTATAGACTGAAATGTGGGGCAAAAAGTTAAAATTTGACATAGAGAAATTGAAGACCTGCACTCAAGTTCTGAAAAATAAATTGTACAATGGTCTTTAAAATAATCAAGTAAATGGAATTTAAAACAATGATGTTTTTTAGCAATCAAATTAACAAATGCTTAAAAGCAATAACATTCTATTCAGATGAGAGAATAGTGGGAGTAAAACCTGCTTCCATCTCTCTGAAAGGTGATGTTAAGATTTCTATCAAGAGCCTTTGAAACATACATTTCCTTTGATCTTCCTTCTACTCCAAAAATTAATCCTATGAAAATACAGCTACTGTTCATAGCTGCCAGTTTTGCATCCACGGATTCTACCAACCATGACTGAAATTTTTAAAAAATTGCTTCTATACTAAATAGTAGTACAAATGTTTTCTCTTGTTATTATAAAGCAGCATAACAACTACTTACACAGCATTTACACTGCATTAGGAATTACATATAATCTAGAGATGATTTAAGTGTACTGGAGGGGGCTGGAGCTCAATGGTAAAAGTGCTTGCCTAGCATGTGCAAGGCCCTGGGTTTGATCCCCAGCAACACACACACACACACACACACACACACACACACAGGTTTAAAGTATATGGAGGGGTATTCTTGGGTTTATGTACAAATACTACACTATTTTATATATAAGGACTTGAGCATCCTGGGATATAGGTGTCTCTGGGAGTCCAGGACCCACTTTTCTGAGAATACCGCAAGATAATATAGTCAGAAAAAACAAAAGCTTATTTATATATAAAAATATTTCTTTCAGAACTATTGATGATGGAAAAGAAACCTCCAACAACAGAAGAATAGTTAACTCAATTATTTTAAACTAAAATGACTTGAATATTATACCACTGTTAAAATGCTGGTTTCCAGAGTTTTCAAAGAAGTTGGGACATGTCGATGTATTGTGATGGGAAAAGGCAGGTACATATTTTACATGGGCATTATGATCCTAGCTATAAACATAAAAAATGTTAGGCTGAATTATATGAAATTTTCTTTTTATGTAGATCAAAATAATTGGATATTAGCTATTTGATGGGGTTCAATCTCATGTATGTCTAGAAACAAGATTTTAAGGAGACATGTTGGATGTTAATAAGTGGTTAACTTTGAATTAAAGGTTTGGGAATAAAGCTATTTTCTTTTGTATTTTATCTGTATTTTTAATTTTTCTATACTGGGTCAATGTTATTTATAACCAAAATAAAAGGGTAATTAATTTTAAATTAATTTGTTTATTTGGTACTGGGGATTAAACCCAGGGACACCTCACCACTGAGCCACATCCCCAGTCCTTTTTGTTTTTTATTGCAACATGGTGGTCTCACTAAGTTGTTAACTTTCTGAGGCTGACCTTGAACTTACAATTTTTCTGTTACAGCCTTCTGAGTTGCTAGGATTATAGGCATGCCTCTAATTAATTTCTTAAGAAGTCACAAGAATTGGATTGGGGAAACTTGGCTGATAGCTGTTCATAGAAAGGCCCACACTTGGGGCTGAGGATATAGCTCAATTGGTAGAGTGCTTGCTTTGCATGCACAAGGCCCTGGATTCAGTTTCCAGCAATACCCCCCCCCCACACACACAAATAATAATAATAATAATGGCCCAATCTCTATGGTGTCACACAGGGTACTGTAGAGAAAGAACACAGGCTTCAGAGGCAGGAGACAAGTGTCCTAAGCCCAGGACTGTTACTCACCAGCTGTGTTACCTAGGGGAAATTAATCAACTTCCCTGAGCTTCAGATTCTTCATCTGCCAAATGAGGATAATCATATCTATGTTGCAGGCTTGTTGGAATAATGATGAGGTAAATAAGGTATCAGGATATAATATCCAGACAATGTCTGGCATTTAGAAGACTCTCAGTATATGGTATTTTTTCCCCCACTCCACTCTATCATCTACCCTTCAAAATGAGTCAGCGGCATGAAATGGTAGGAAGTCTGAGGTATGAGGTAGCTGCTAAAAAAATTAGGCCTATTCTCAGTTACATTGATGGAGTGTTGAGAGCAGCTGGTTGCGCTGGAATGCTTGGAGTGTCATGTCCAGGTCGGGGATGTTATTTTAAGAGGCACATTAATAAACTGGAGCATTTCCGAAGGTATGAAAACATTTGGGTAAGTTATACCCGCAGGGAGGAAAAAACAACTTAGGGGAGAAAAATATCAGAATGATTGATGTGTAGAAGGCAAGATTTCACATGTAGTCTCCAGGGGGAAGAAGTTACCAGAAAACAAGTAGCTTTTGACTCAGAGTAACCATACGTTTTTTGACAACAAGAGGTGACCTTGGATAGGACGGCTGCTAAAATGACACTGGGCTTCCCTCCTGACCTAACTGCTCTCCTAGCAGCCAGGAGTCACCTCTCACGGATGAAGCAAAGAGCCCTGATGGGCAGTGAGTTGCTTAGATCAGTGTTTCCTAGAATCTGGAACCCATGAAATGTCAAACTGGGGACAACATGTCAATCAAGAATCTTGCTGCATACAGGATAAGCTCTGCAGCTGAGCACATAAGCCTCAGTCCCAGGGATGCTTGGACCAGCCCGTGGGAGCCTAAGGAGGCTCAGGGTGACCCACGAGAGTGTTGAGGCAGAATATTCTGCACTGTCCTGCAGCTGCAATCATGGTCTGCTGGGTGATCTCTAGCCCAGCTCTCATGCCTTCCTTGATCTGCCAGGTCTCAGCCAGAAACAACCCAGCTCCCTGGAGTCCTGATGTGACCCTTGGCTCCTTGGCTCTTAACATCTGCAATTAAGCACAGATGCCGAAGACCTGGAGTTCAGAAACCCCCTGCTGCCTCTTTGGGGTCCAGTTGCCTGTCTCTTTGCTGTGCAGCCTGTCTGGGCCACCTTCTTGCTGTACCCTCTAGATCAGCTCCAGCAAAAGTTACGTATAAAGGGACAGAGAGTAAATATTTTAGGCTTTTGGTGCCATACAGTCGCTTTTGCAACCTCTCAACTCTGTCCTTGCAAAAGTAGACTTGTGCAAATGGGCTTGGCCATGTTCCCATCAAATTGAATTAGCAAAAGCACTGGCGGTCCCTGCTTGAGGCAGGCAAGACATGCCTTGTCTCTCTTGTCAATCCGGGTTCACTGTGGGCATTCGTCAATAAATAATAGTGTGTGCCAAGGAAGGATGTTGCAAGAAGACCAAGTAAGCTATGTCTTCACCATCAGTTGACAAGAGAAAAATACATTTTAACAATAATGATTAGAAAAAAAAAAAGGATATTTCAAATCTCAGAGTAAAGCTCAAAGTCCATGCAAGTTTGTGGACAAGCAATGAGGGTCATATCTGGAAACCCTTCCTGTTTTAGGGATTTTTTTGTTTATTTGTTTGTTTTTGTTTTTGTTTTGTTTTGTTTTGTTAGTCTCTTTTCATTTTGGTTTCTTGTTTTGGAGACAGGGTCTCACTAAATGGATGAGGTTGGCCTCCAACTTGAAATCCTCCTGGAGCCTGCTGGGTCACCTGGGTCACTGGAATTATATGCATGTGCCACCAGGCTCTGGGTTTTTTTTTTTTTTTTTTAATTTTAATTGTTCTATTTTTGTAGCATGAGCTGAAGACAACCTAGGTCTCCTTTCCACCATTCTTGAATAATTAACTTTCTGAGTTGAGTCCATAATTGTGCATTTGCCTCTGTGAAGTTTCAGCCCCTTGGTTTGGGATTTTATAGTTTCGACTCTTCCATAAACATTGTGGTAAAGGCTCCAGGTTCTATTCTTTCCAGTTGACTAGTCTAAGCCAACAGTAACAGTTGTGTTACTTGATAGATATAAATCCCCAAAACTGCTGGGCATGGTGGCACATGCCTATAATCCTAGAGACTTGGGAGGCTGAGGCAGGAGGATCACGAGTTCAAAGCCAGCCTCAGCAATGGCAAGGTGCTATGCAATTCAGTGAGATCCTATCTCTAAATAAAACAAAAATAGGGCTGGGGATGTAGCTCAGTGGTGGAGTGTTCCTGAGTTCAATCCCCATTGTTCTCCAGCCCCCACAAAAGAAAACATAAACATAAAACAAATCACAAAAACTACAGTTCCATGGGATTTTCAGTAATTCTTAAGGGTGTAAAGAAATCCTAAGGCCAAAAAGTTTGGGAAATTCCACCTACATCAATCATGCATACCTCCACTAAAGATTGGTTCAGAGTGGGGCGGGCCTAACCCATTTTGGGTCATGAGATGTGAAGACAGGCTCCAGGGGGTGTGGGGGGTGTGGGGGTTGGGGGGGTGGAGGGTGTTTGCAGGGTGTGGCGTTGGGGGGTTGCAGGGTGTGTTGTGGGGGGGTCTTTCAACTCTTCAGGAGGAAACCTAGGAAGTTCCATCTTCTGGGCCAGAAGGAATGGCAGAATCTCTGGCCGTGACTGCTGATGGCAACGGGAGCCTTAGGAAGACGTTGCTAGGATGGAAGGGAGAGAGATCAAAATAACTTGGCCCTGGGCGACTTTGTGGTGCTTCTTCGTCAAAGAATCCCGGAGCCCATTCTCTGCCTTCCCTGATATGTGAGCTTCACTTTCTTAATAAATCAGATGGAAATTTGATATGTTTCCCAAAGCATCCTTTGACCCTCCATCCTGCCACCCATCGTGAGAATGTTCCTTCTTAGTTTGATGACTTTACAAACTTCCATACACATAACCTCCCTTTCTACACATGAATAAATGACGGAAATAGTCCTTTGCAGAAGAACCCACTGCCCAGCGCTCCATGATCCTGTGTGCCCATGAGTCACTCCACACTCCTATTGTCTCCAACTGGATAAGCCCCAGAAGGGAAGAAACTCCATCCTCCACCCACTCCTGCAAGTAGAACAAGATGGATTGACTGGAGACGGGAGTCTGAGAAAGAAGTCAGAAGCCAGTGTGGTCTGCTGCCCAACTTCCTCCTTTCCCCCATGAGCTTGCAGGGCTATTTTGAGGCTGTAATGTAATTATACGTCAAGCAGCTGGCGCATGATAGACATTCAGAACAACAAGCTTTTTTTTTTTGTAGGGTGGAGGAATGCTGGGGACCCAGATTCTCACGCTTAACCTCAAGCATAACAAACATTTATCTGGCACCATGAAGCCTCTAGACACCATGATAGCCTGGGAATAAATAAGACTTTCTAATTTGTCACTGCAGGACCCCCAGATCCAGACCCAGGCCTGGACCTTAGGAGATGCCCAGTAAATGTTTGTGTGAATGAATGTCCACCTTTCAGTGAGAGGGATGGAGAAAGATGGCACATGATGACCATTTTACCATAGCATGGTAGGTAACAGAGGCCAGCGCAGAGCACAGAAGGGGGTCTTCTTTGGTATGGGTGAGGGAGACTTTCCAGAATGGGCTACAGTGGGTGGAATCTTGAAAGATGTGAAGAATCAGGAAAAGAGAGAAGGGAAGTGCTGTCTATGCAAGGGGTCCTAGTGAGCAAAGGCCAAGTGGGGGGCAAGATGGCTCAGGATATGTGAGCTTTGAGGGTCTGGGCTGTCCTGGGAAGGGAGCTGAGCTTGGGCTGGACCCTGTCAGTGACCGTCTGAGGAAGTCTCAGAGGGTACCCAAAGAAGTTCTGCTCTGCACCAGATCCAAGAGTCTCCCTTGAGAGCCAACACTTATTGAGCACTTACTATGGGGCCAGGCAGGCATCTCGCGCATCCTTGTACTGACTCGTTTAGTTTCTCTTGACAAGCCTGTACAGTCGAACTATCAATAGCCAGATTTCCCAGATGAAGAAACTGGGACATAGAGCGATTAATTCCTCCCCAGAGACACCAAGTTCAAGGTCAGGATCTGGACTCACCATCCTGGCTCTGAGCATTTAGCCACCACGTGGCTTCTCTTTTGGTTTTATAAATAAACCACCCCAGTCTCATGGTGGTATATGGCAATGTTCACAGTGCCTAGGGTCTTCCTGACCTTCACCTCTAGGTTGATAGACTGAGGTTGTAACACAGCTCCTGGAAGCTCAGCTGAGCAGAGAAGTGTCGGGGGGGGATTGAGAGTGGCCCCAGGTCCTGACCTCTGGCCCACACTGGTATCCCCTGTCTCCTCTCAGGCCTCCCCACCTCCCAGGACCCCCTTGGGGTGGAGGTTGACCGGCTTACCCGCCTCTCATTGGAAGAGTCGTTCACATTAACCCCGCAGGCCAGGTCAGGCCTGGGGAAGGTTTCTGACCAGCCGTCTGGTGTGCAGTTTCGGAACAGGGAACCTGTGGGTGCCAAGTGTCCAGCAGGTAAGCAGTGGGTGCTGGCAATATCATTTTTGTACTAAAATCTATAGTGAATGTAAATGCTACCACCATTTTATAGCTGGGGAACCTGAGGCCCGTGGGGTTTCAATAATTGCAACGATCACACCCTAGTAAATGGGGAAAGGGGGCTGGAACTCTGGGGCTCCTGGCTCCAGGGCCGTTCTCTTCACCACGCACCACGTGCCAGTGCCCTTCTTGACTCCTGCCTGGTGCTTTGCCTGACCCCAAGTCCTGCCGACACATAACAGGAAGGTCCCCTGGGACAACTAGGGGAGGTGGCAAGGACCTGGCCACTCTAACAATGATCTTTACTCAGTCTACTGTTGTTACAAACCTTGCTCCAAGAAAGTTCCATTTCATATCTCACTTCATGCCCTGCTCACCGGGCCATTTGAAAGCCACCAGAGTGCCACTGAGATACACCTTTCCAGACAGCCACCTCTCACCAGAAGGCTGGAGTTATTATTAGTCCTTTAGCCAACACAACAAGGCTACCTGTGGAGACAACTGAAATTCTGTTTGCCCCGTGCACCCAGGCAAGGCTGCAGGCTGACCCCTCTCACCAGGTAGTCCATGGTTTCTGGGCTGCCCTGAGCTGGGCCCAGGGCCCTTGTGCACCAGACTCTGGCTGGCTAGAGAGAAAGGCACATGAATGGAGTCGAAGGACCTGCATGGAGCCCTTCCCATAATGGAAGGGAGATGCCAGCTAGAAGGCCCCAGGAGGAGGTGCCCACCTTGGACTGAGGTCCAGCTGTCTTCTATACTCTGGGCTACCAAGATCTGGATCCCCAGCTCTGGCAAGTGGGAGACATCATGAGGTGAGGACAATGATCACTAGGTACTGAGGGGAGAACCCTGTCCAGGGGCCCCTTAACAACACTGGCTGAGCCTGGGATACTCCTCTTCCATGAGGCTGGGCCACCACTCGCAGAGTTCGGGACCAAACAGCTTCTACTGAGCTAGAGAAATGTGGCTGGGCTTTCTAGAACCAGCCACTGTGCTATGTACTTTCTGTATGGATTCTGATCCAATCCTCACAGACTCCAGGAAGGCAAGGGTTGTCTATTTTGCAGACCATAAAACCAAGGCCATGGTGCCCAGACGGGGTGAACCTTATCACTATGCTGCCTTCCTGTCTGGCCCTTTCTTTCTGGTCCCAGTTGTGGCTTCTAGCCCCAGGAGATTCTGTCCTTTGGGCTCCAGACATGCCCAGCCTCTGAAGGGTCAGGGAGGCCTGGAGCCTAGGTCTCTAGAAGCAGCCAGACTTAGTTTGAAACCCAGAGCTGCTGTGTGACCTCACCTGCACCACTTCTCTGTGCCGGGTAGGAATAATCACCCTCTGTGCAAAAGCAAGCAGGACCAACACTGGCACATGGAGCGGGGCTAGGCTGCTGCCAGCACAGAGCAGGCCTTGCAGTCCCACTTCCTCTCCTTTCAGCCTTTCCAAATAAGGCAGGAGTGGACAGGCCACGGGGACTTGGAACTCAGGGGAGGCAATGGGAAAGAATGGTGGTCCAATTTGGCATGGTAGAATGGCAACAAACACCCAGACCTCAGATCCAAAGGTAGCACCTGCCTCAGGCTGACTGTGGACTCAGCCCACTGCACCTGGCCTGGTGTTTAGGGCCCTCTCCTCGCTGACCCAGCAGGATTCCCAAGAGATCTGCATGTGACCCAGGCCAGGGCCAAGAATTACTGACAAGGTAAAGTCCCCTGCTGATAGAGCCACCTGCAAGGCTGCAAACATAGCATTGGGACTCCCTGGGGCCCCCATAATCCCATGTACTCCCCCTCCCACCCCAGTTTCATTCCTAACAACTAAGGGGTCCTTAGCCAGGTACAAGCCAGCGTACACCTCAGGGCATCCCTGAAAACATATTCACATGCATTAGGGGAAGAATCAGTCCAATGCTGTCATCCAAGCCTCCCGGCCCCTAATGAGGTTGGGGACTGCTGCTGCCTCCCACTAAGCAGGAAGGAAAGAAGGGCCAGGCCTGACTCCACCCAGAATGCGTTTTTGAATAAGCAATGCTGGAAGAAGGCGCCATTTGAAATGCATCCTAGAGGGAACATTGAGGCCTGGCATGAGAACTCTCTGGGGCAGAAGGCAGCTGTAGTTTCTCCAGTCACAAGGACACCCATCCTGTCAGGCCCATGTGGTGGGTACCCTGGGAAGAGTAAATTTATGAATTAATTCTGCTATTTATTTTTCTTAGTTCAAAAAGAAAGGTCCAGAACACCACCTTGTCATCACTGGGCTCTCCCACAGGGGTCGGAATTGGGGTTGGGGACACCACTAGGGGGAGATTTTCTTCCTGAAGGGAGATAAGGAGCAGGAGTCCAAGGTTCTGGGTGACTAGCAGAAGGTCCTGATCTGTGTGTATGGACCAGCTGACACCCCAAAGCCCGAGGCAGGACTGAGTGGGATGGTCCTCCCCACCACGCCAGGGCCGGAACCAAGCTCCCAGTAGTCAGGACCTAGTGTGGATCTGCAGCCCACAGCGGCACCATGTGGCGGCAAGGTGAAACTGCAGCTGTGTTAGGCATCCCTATGCCTAACTCTATCCTTAAAGCAGCTTCCAACCTTAAAGCATGCAGACAGGGAATTGAGTCCCTGGGGGAGTCCCCAATGCGTGGTGAGTGATTCGAGGGTAGGGAGCCTCAAGAGGGGTCAAGGGAATTCTAGTTAACGAGGAGGGAGTAACTGGGGAGTGATGTAATAGGGCTGGCACCTCATCATCCCGGTTGCAGTGGGCACTGGTTTTGCCAGCCCCTCTGCAGAAGGACAGGAGGGAGGGGAACAGGAGGTGGAGGCACTGTGGCTCTGGGAGGGCTGGGGAGGAGAAGAGCTTTAAATATTCTCAATAGGAGAAAATCCCAATCAGCCATCGATGGAGCACTGTCTGGGAGTCAGAGACCAGGAGGGTCTGGTCCTGATCTTGCCTCTGACCTTCATAGTTTTCTAGGCCAACCATGGCTGTGTTGGTGTCCTGTTTCCTGATCTTCACAGACCCTAGGACAGACATGGAAGGGTCAGGCCAGGAGTAAAGGTGTGTGAGTTTGCTGGTGTGTGTGTGTGTCAGGGGAAGGGGAGGAGCCAGAGCAGGAAATTTGTGGAGGGGAGAAGAACAAGGAGTGATAGCAGGTGGAAAAGAGACAAAGACCAAGTCCAGCCTTATAGGCAGGCATTATTTATTGCTCCCACTTTGGAGATATGGAAATTGAGGCTCGATGACAATGAGCCACTTGGGCCATGCAGCTGACTGGCACAGGGCTGGACTGCACACCCCACGTCCCCTTCGGTTAGGTGTTGCCATATAACTGAGTTTGGGCTAAGAGAATGCAAGCAGAGTGGTGTCTCTCTCAGGCCAGGCCTTCAGATTCCCTAGGTGACCCTCTGGGTCCTTTCTCCTGGCCACCCACCCTGGAGTTGCAAGTGAAAGCCTGGGTGGTAAGGTGTAAGATCTAGCATCGCCATCGGGAGGAGAGTCACCTGCTAATCAGGGACATCTGTTTGTGACATAATATGGACAAACATTGTATGAAGGCTTTAAAATTTGGGGGATTTGTCTGATCAGCAGCTTTTGTTACTAAATCAGGGATGGAAGAGTGGGGTTCAAGCCACCTGGTCCCCTTCCATATCCGTATTATAGGATTTTCAGTGGGGCAGAGGGACAGTGAGCCTCAGCAGCATGTTTCCGAAATCTCTGTGTGTGTGTGTGTGTGTGTGTGTGTGTGTGTGTGTGTGTCCCCACTTGCATGCGTACTTGAGTACTTACGTGCTGGAGAATTACAATGAGAAGAATCTACACTCATCTCTGGGGCCCCACAGTCTATCTCTGCTACAGTTTGGATCTGGGCCATTCCCTAAAGGCCTGTATACTAAAGACTTAATTTTCAGCTTGATGCTATGGGGAAGGGGTGGAGCCTTTAGGAGTTGGGGCCTAACTTTTGGAAGTTAGGTCATTGGGTGTGCCCTTGAAGGGAGGGTTGGTATGCAAGTCTCTTCCTTTCTCTCTTTGCTTACCAGCTGCCATGAGGTGAGCAATTTTTCCTCTACCACATGCTCTCAGTCATGATGTTGTGCCTTACTAGAGTAACAGGCTGACCAACCATGAACCGAAATCTCCAAAACTGTGATACACAACAAACCTTTCTTCCTTCAAGTGGATTTTCTCAGGTGTTCATCACAGCCATGAAAAGCTGTCGAACATAGTCTCTCTGAACATTCTTTCCTTCCTGACTTTGGAAGTTTGGTGGGTTTTGGTGTTAAATGACCTGTTCTTTGGTTTGTCCTTGTTAAGGACCTTGTCAGGTGACTTTTCTTGCTCTGCCCAGATGAGGGAGAAGAGCAAGACCTCAATGATGAGGTAAGGAGTCAAAGGCAAGGACCCTGTCCTCCTCCCAGGATCACACAAACCATGAGAGGAGAGACCAACCATGACTTCAAGGTCAGAGCACCAGAAGTCAGAAGTCAAGTTTGAGTCTTAGTTTCTCCATCTGTTGCTGTGAACTTTAAGGCAAACTGACAAACCTCTCTTAGACACTATTAATATGGTCATTGCTCTTTACTTGGGCCAAGTGATTTACTGGGTGTAGAGAAAAGGGACATGGCTTGCAGGGGTTTTGTAGTCATTGCCCACGTACATAAAATGCCTGGTACAGGGTCCACCTTAAACCAAAGTTAGTCTATTAAGAAAATCCTTGTACTCTGTAGCTGTCCTCGGGAAAAGGTCTCCGGGAGGGCAGGGCTCCCAGGGAAGCCCTGGCTTACCCACAGGGAGGGCCTGGCAGAATAGGCAGAGGATGTGAGCACTCTGGAAGGCCACACATTTGGGAAACCTGGCACTGTCAAGAGTGGGGTCCTTGACCTGGAGGCCTGGAGCAAGGACGCTGCTGGTTAGGGGGACACAACCTGGAAGGAGGGAAAGGATCCCCAAATGAGAGGCATGGGGCAGAGAAGCAAGCCCAGCATTCACCTTCCCCTTCCTACCCACTTCCTTGGGACTCTGAGAATTGAGCCCACCCTGACCCCCAACAAGTCTTCCAGTCCCCAACAAGCATCCCACGATTTCACCACTGCTTGTCCCCCGAGAAGGCTTCGGGTCTCCTGCCTCTCAGCTGAGGCCACCCCACACACAGCCTTCCGGCCAGGCCCCTTGGCTGAGTGGTCACCGTTTCTGCTCGTGAGCATCTGGAGGAACCTGGGGCACTCCACTTCCACGGTGTGTCCTGGTGCAGAGGAGGGCCAGCAGCTCATGTTGTCCCACAGCCCCTCACAGCCTGTGGAGAAGAGTCAAGGTATCAGACTGGGATGGAGTATGGGCCAGGGGATGCCCGCCTCCCACCCTGTCACCATCCCTGTCCCCCTGGCCTGCCTGGAGTCCTCATTAGACTCCTATGAAAAGTTCTCACTAGGTTCTGGCTCCTTGTGTCAGGAACCAGTGGTGTCTAATAAATGCACCTTTTCACCTTCCCAGCCTTGGACTCTGCCGTGTGCATGGTAAGTGCTCAGGGCTGAAGACACAAGGAAGGAAGATGTTACAGGGTCTCAGATCGGCCTTACCTAAGTGGGTCTGGATTTCTCTGCAACAGAAGTTGGCCTCAGCTTGGGTTAAATGACTGCAGCAATGGTCTGTCTCCCGGCTGCACAGTACAACCACCTGAGGAGCCTCAAAAATATACCTAACCAGGTCCCACCTCCAGGATTCCCATAGAGTTGGTCTGGGTGGGGCCCAGGCATGGTATCATGTTAAAGCTACCCGGGTACTTCTGATGTGATAAGGTCAAGAACACTTGTTCCGTGATTCTCAAACTTCATCTTGCATCAGAATTACCTGGAGGGCTTGTTAAAATACAGAATGCTCAGTGGGCAGGGGTGGGCCTGAGGATGTGCATTTCTAACAAGTTCCCAGTTGATGCTAATGTTCCTGGGCTGGGGGTGACTTTAAGAAGCACTACCTTGAAGCTACGCAAGAGTCACCAGTATGCTTGAGGGTTTTTGAGGATGTTGCTTTCTACCTCACTATGTTTCCTTTAGGGGGCCCATTCTTGAAGGAAGACCTGGTGTCAATACAGTGAAAAGCTGAATTTCTTATAAACTTATTATCCTTAGAGACACTGAATCTTGAAGTGGATTTCCTCTCATTTGGCTGCTAGGGGTTTACATCCAGATTTGTGGTCACTTCTGGTAACTGAGAGACTTTGAAATGAGTCAAAAAGAAGACAGAACTAGAGGCCTTGTTTAAGCACAACCTTCTGGGTTATCTGAATCTATGGGTTATCTGATTTGATTGTCTTTGGACTATTTTACAAATCTATACGTTATAAGTGATTGATAACATGGCAAATGATTCTCATTCATAGACACACATGACTATGTCTGGCTGAAATACAATTTATTTCACTCTTCCTTGTATTCAGCCCAGGTTGCACTCACTTATACATTCATTTTACCATTCTGCCTTATATGTGAGATACTTTGAATTCTCCTATGAACAGGCCGACCAACCAGAGTTCATATCTTACTGATTCCCTCACTAGTCAAATAAAATGCTGGGCAGGTATTCATTTAATAGGTGAGTTATGACTATACTCTTCTACGAATCATCATTTCACATAATCATCTATTAATTCTCCCGAAGTTAACGCCAAAGTGAGAAGTCACTGCTTGTACAAGCTTTGGTGGCCCATGCCATGTGAAAGGCTATCACTGGGGCAGGTTCAGAGGGGTCTGGAAACAGGCTAGGTGGGCAGCCATGAGGGGAACAGCAGTCACCCCTTGTCCCACTTGGGGAGCGTAGTGCAGACCCACTACACCAAGGCCATTCAGAAAGACCCAGGTGGACCTGAGTCGCAATCCCAGCCACCCACACGTGCTATCCTGGCCCCGCCTCTCCTCTCTTCTGGGGGAACAAATGCGTCTCCCCTGAGCTTGTCAGGAGGATGAGTTCAAAGGTCACGTGGGGAGCCCACACAGAGTAGAGGGTGAACAGCAGCCACTGCCTCCTCATGTCTTCCCCAGGCCCACTCCTTTCCCCCCCTGGCATCTGGAGGGAAGCCAGGCCGGGCCTTTTGAACTGCAGCCTGAGCTCTGGGGAATGGGAGAGGCCTACGGTGTGTGTGCGTCTTGGGATTAACTAGAGGGCAGATTCCCAGCTTTTCAAAAGAGCAACGGTCTATTTTTTGGCATAAATCCAACCAGATTCAAAGGACCAGAAACCTCTTCTGTGACACCTTCATCCCTTCTAAGTGAAGTCGCCCTGATGACCCACCCCACCGCAGAGGTTCTGGCCCTCAGGGCCCATCAGAGGGCTGGGAGTGTGGCTCAGTGGTAGAGCACTTGCCTGGCACGCTGGGTTCCATCCTCATAAGCACCACATAAGAATAAATAGGTAAATAAAATAAAGGTATTGTGTTCATCTATAAGTAAAAAAGATATTTTTAAAAATATGGTAAATTAGGAGCTGGGGTTAGGGCTCAGTGGTAGAGTGCTCACCTAGTATGTGCGAGGTACTGGGTTCGATCCTCAGCACCACATAAATGTAAAATAAAGATATTATGTTCAACTACAATTAAAAGATAAATATAGTAAAAAATATGGTAAATTAGGGGTTGGGGCTCAGTGGTAGAACACTTGCCTAGCACACGTGAGGCACAGGGTTCGATCCTCAGCACCACATAAATAAAATAAAGGTATTGTGTCCACCTACAACTAAAAAAAAAAAAAAAAAAAAAAAAGATGGTAAATTTTTTAAAAAAGAGAAGAAAAAAGATCAGCAGGGAGCCCATCCCATGCATTGATTTCTGGGTCTTACCTGGAGAGATCCTAATGTGGCCATTCACAGGCCACACCCAGAAATCTGTATCTCCAGAGCTTCCCAGAGTGGCTGCACGGTGTGGCCTCAGGACCTTGCTTGGAGAGTTCACAATGCATTACCCTCCTCCCCAGAGCCAAGGACCCAGACCTACCCCTGGCTCCCAGGAGAGTAAGAGAGACAGCCATGAACCCACCTCCTGAGAAGGTCACGGGAGGTCACCTCCAGTCTGCAGCAACTGGGTTCAGTGGCCTCCCCTGCCACATACAAGCAGCAACCTGTATGCCTGCCCACTGCTGGAGCCCCCATACCCTTGTGGGCCTAGCACAGTGAAGGAACTCAACACCAGTGGCTAATGAACAAATAAATAGACCAGTGCCAGATCCTGGACTCCCTCAATGTCCCTCTTGCCTTGACGTCCACTTGAATTAATTCCATGTCCAGTCCTGGCCTTCTGCTCCTCTGCCTGCCAGCTCTGGTTTGGCTGTTAATCAGAGGGGCTGGAGGCTCCTGTTAATCACAGGAGCACGGTACCCAGAACAAAGCCGACTCTGGATGACTGTAGGCTTCCCAGATGCCTTTTTACAACCCACATTTTACACATGAAGAAGACTGAGGGGGAGTGACTTCCCAGAATCACACAACCAGGACGTGCAGGGGCTGTGTCTCTCTGCCTGTTCTGCTACTTGGTGCCACCTCCCAGCCTTCACCCACCTGATCTGTCACCAGGTGGCACTGACTAACCCAGCCAGGCTCAGGGAGCTGGAGAGAGGCGCCAAGGGGCAGGCCAGGTCAGGAGGGGCTGGGCTCGCAGAGGGGAGAACAGACTGACAGGGAGGTGGGCAGCTAAGGCAGGTGCTTTGGGTTTCCACCCTGGCCATGGCACCAGCCCCCAGAGGGAGGAGGAAGGTGGGCGAGCCCACAGGGGAGCCGGGACCTGAGTCAGGATCCTGGAAGGGGGTTTTAGAGGCAGAAATGGTGGGGGACAAGGGAAGGCTGTAACCCAGGGCAAGGACCGTAGGGTGTGGAGGAGGGAGACCCTGAGATATAGAGGGGGGTTTGGATGGGGCCCCCACAAGCCTGTGAAAGCATCCATGGGGCCAAGAAGCAGGTGTCTGTCCTTCAAGGAACCGGAAATGAAAAGCCCTGGGATACTCCTGGATCTTTGCCCTGGATCTCACAGTGAGCCCGGCGAGAGGAGGGCCCCGAGTGTCTATTTTGGACCTTCCCCACAGCACCCAGGTGGGTCACCCAGATGCCAGCTGTGGATGCTGCTCTCGGGCAGGAGCACGGTCCCCAGAACTCAGCCGACTCTGGGTGACTGTAGGCTTCCCAGATGCCTTTGGGATGGCAACTTGGTCCTGGCAGGGTCCTTTCCAAATGACGTACTTCCTCTCTGCACTCTGAGCATCTGGGGTCCCAGGAGGCTAAGGGATCCCTTTGTCCTCTTTCTTCAGGCAGAAATCTCCCAGTGGCCACAGGACCCTGCTGACAGTACAAACTCCCTGCCTGATGGGGTGGCTTTTCCTGCCCTGGAAGCAGGTGGGCACTTCCAGAGCATGGATCAATGCAGAAGCCTATTATGTCACTTGGGAAGGGAGGGACTCAGAGCTGGCTGGAGCCACCTGGCTGGCCACCAGGATGCTGGCAGACGCCTTCAGTCCATGCAACTGATAACCCATGCCCAGCGGGCCAGCCAGAGGCACAGAGTGCCAGGATGTCTGAGAGCCTTCCTGAGCTGGGTCACGTCAGGCAGGGCCCACAGGGACACCCAGCCTGGTGCTGGCAGAGGGCAGGGCAGGAGTGCCCTGTGCAAGGGGAACTGACTCCTCCCAGGAAGTGGGGACCCTACAGGCTGGCTCACTGCTGTGCCCTCCAAGTCAGTCACGTGTAGAGACAAGACACTGAGGCTAGAGCGGGGCAGGGCCAGGCCAGACCTTGTTCCAGACACACATCAGACATTGTTCCAGACACATCAGCAGCTGAATGTCACAGTAGTTCAGGGTCAGGTCGGGTCACTAGTAGAGAGGAAGAATAAGAGGGAAAGTGACAGGTGCAGAGTGACTGAGCTGGTACTGGCAGAAGTAGGATCCCACCCAACCTTCGTGTCTCCCCACCCAGTGAGGACTGAGGACACACCCTCTGATGCCAGTTGTCCTTTGGTGGCAACAGACCTGGCTGCCAACCCCACATGGCACTGCTGGTTTTCTGAGCACCCACGACATGGTCCCACTCTCTCCCAGCCTCTGCGCAGACTCTCCCAGCATGCAAAGCGCACATCCCCCATAGGTGAGCTGGGCTTTTGGATGGTTCATGGTTGAATATTTTTTATTTTAACAGTTACATAGCTTTCAAAAGGGAATTTAATGTGTTAGAAACATAATAAAGCTAGCATATCACATCTGATTTTATGACTACTTATTGTTTAGGGTATAACTAAAGTTTTTTAAAATCCATTTTTAAAGGGGAAAATATTAAGGAAGTCAAAGTACAAGTGACACGTGGCTGCTACTGGCAGGGACCCCCTTGCACGGCTCCCAGGATGTGAGCGGCGTGTCTCAGAACCCACTCCCAGATGTCCCCTTCCCCAGGATGGGCAGGAATGGGAGGAAAGGAGGGTACTCCATGCCCGGTGTTGGACATCCTGTCCTGGACTTGGCCTTCCCTGGGGAGCTTCCGGCAGGGAAGGGACACAACTCAGGAGTGGGGTTGTTGTCGGATCCTGGGCAGCTCTAGATCCAGAGCAGCAAAACCCACCACTCAATGGGAAAAGGGATTGTGAACAGTGCTACAGCTACTGAACCCTGAGGAGGGGTCACTGCCTCTAGAAAGCCCCGGCTGCAGCTAATGGAGCTTAGCCGCTGTCCCTACCACGGCCTGGCTGCAGGAGGTGGGATGGAACACCCCAGAAGCTTCAGTGGAGATGCAGGTGTAAGCAATGCCAGGTCACAAACACCCTGGGCAGGGGGTCTGGGTGAGTCCCACAGCCCAAGAGGACAGCATGGGGGTCCTGGGTCAGAACAGGTGTCACAGCGAAACAGAATGGGCTCAAGATCCAAGCCTACCTTGGACTTGGTCATGCCGCTGACCTCCATAAGCCTCAGTTTTGTCATCTATAAAATGGCTCAGCAACATTCCCTAGGATTTTTGTGAGAACTGAATGATTCGTGTGTGTAATAAAATATTATCTGATCTCTTAAACTCTGTTCTTGTTAATTGTCCTGACACATTTTCTCCCTCCTTCCCCCTCTGATAACTGGTTCAAAGTCTCAGAGGAGGGCAGGAAACTCATTTTTCCCGAGGTTTTCAAACATCCCTGGGGGAATGAAAGGCATTCAGGTGTGGTCTCAATGCTTGGGAGAAAACAGAAAAGGAGCAATACTTCCCCAGACCATGGAGCAACGGAGGGGGAGTGATGAGCAGGAGTATGGAAGTTTCCAGAAAGAGGCCCAGTTAGCCCCAAGAGGTGGGTTGAATGACCTAGAGCAGCCTGACTATGGGGACATGTCTAGATGAGACCACAGCCTTGCAGAGCAAGTGTCCCCAGTCAGGCACAGAAGAGCCACATGGCAGGGGACAAGGTGTCCGACACCATCCATGTGGAGCAGAGCCTAAGAAAAGGGGCTCCCCTGAACGCAGTGCTGCTAGGTGACTGACACCCCAGAAAGCCGGAGAAAAGACCCAGAAAATAACAAAGCTTAAATTTCTGTCGCTCCAGGAGCAGAGTCAGAATTAAAGTCACAGAGAAGGGAAACTGTTCTCTTTCTACCCGATGGAGTTCATAGGGTCCTTTATATTTATGAAGGCCCTGGTGCTGCTTGAGGCCCGAGGCAGACAAAGCCACCAGCTTCCTGTGTCCTGCCCATGGAGACAGAGAAGTGGCCCCAGAGGCATGTCTGGGGAGGGGCAGGGTGATTTTAAGAGGGCAGGATGGTGCCCTGGGGACCTCTAGGTGGCCCCATCCAGCCTGGTGCCTGGCACAGAGAGCCCTCTGCCAGCTCTGAGTCTGCCCTGTGTTCACCCACAGCAGAGCCTCTGCCCTCCGGCGTTGACTTATTAATACGTGGGCTCAGATGGCCTGTCAATACCCTGAGACTATTCCTGGAGCAATGTGACAGGCTGCTGTGGCAGGGAGCCAGGAACAACCAGGCCCCCCGGGGCCATTCTGGATTGGACCACCAGGACAGCAGGTGCTGTGTCCTTCCACGTCCCCTCCATGCCCTGGATGCTCACTTTACCTGCTATTGGAGATCACCAGGGAACCCAGAGCTCCTCCTGGCCCTGCACCCAGAGCCCCCTGAAGCTTCTGCTTGTCGCCATTGGCCCCCCACTGCCTGGGGACTGTCAGAGCCATGTCTCAGGCGCTTCCTGCCCAGCTACCTCCATTCATCCTCGTTCCCCCTCAAGATCCCACAGTGGTTCTGGGCGAGTCATGTGCACCAACCTGTTTCTTGGCTTCATGGCGCCTCCCTCTGCCTTTCTTGTCCCCACTTGGGCCCCTCCCAGGTCATTCAGCGGGCAGCCTGGGGAGGTTTCCCTGGCTTTGCCATTGACGTGACCTATAGACTTAGGTCCAGAGGCGTGTTGCTCTCCTCTGTGGCAGCTGAACCACCCGCCAGCTGTGGTCAGGATGCAGTGGGGACTGAAATCCCAGGAGCAGAAGCATTCAGAACCACATGGAAGGAGACAGAGCTAAAGACCAGGAAGGTGTATCTTTAAACCCAGGAGCATAAGCCATTCAGTGAGATGAGTTCTCTGGGGAACAGTGAGTTCCCCATCACTGAAAGTATTCAAGCAGAGAGGGCCATGGGATTCGTGAACTGGGAAGAGCATCAGGCACTGAAGGGAGACTGCGCCAGATGACATAAAGGACCTTGGAATCCTGGGGCTGAGAGGCTACTGCCTTGGAGCAGGCTGCTCATCTCCCACCCTCAGCTTCTAAGCACCAAGAGCCAGGCTCTTCCCTTCCCTTCCCCAAACTACAAACTACAGTTCCAGAGGGCCCTTCCCGCTCACCTGAGAACTCTTCCTCACCTGGCCTAAAGAGCTTCATCTCATGCCACTTGACACAGTAAGAATTGATTGGCATTAACAATCTCTCTCTCTCTCTCCATCTCTCCCTACCAACCTCTCTCTCCTTCTCTCCTTCCTTCCTTCCTTCCTTCCTTAGGGGCCCCAGCAAACTTCCAGCTGCCAGCAAACTTCCAGCTGCCGGCTGATGATTGGCTCACAGTGGCCCCAGCAACATCTAGCTGATTGGCTCCTCTGCGGTGATGTTCATTGGGCTGTTTCCCTGCCCTTCAGACTGCCAGCTGATGATTGGCTCACAGCGGCCCCAGCAACATCTAGCTGATTGGCTCCTCCACGGAGCTGCTCATTGGGGGACTTCTTTGGCTCTGCCCACGCAACCCAGCCAATCGGCTTCAAGGAGGATTGTGGGAGGTGGAGAGGCTGGTGTGGGGGTGGGAGGCATGTGGAAGCCGGTGGTGGCAGTTGGGCTCTGAGGGTTTTTTCCCTGAGGAGCTGTTTTGTTTGGCGTTTGTAGTTCTAAAAATAAAGTTAGTTTCTTTTGACAAGTGGCTCCTGATTTGTGCCAAGCCAGACTTCGGCAAGCAAGGGCTCTACCACTGAGCTACGCCCCAACTTGCTTTTCCCTAATGAAAAATCCTTCTCAGAGCTGGAGGTAAGTACCTCAGTTATTCATATCAGCTATGCTGCTTGTGATCAGACTGGATTACCAACCAGAAAGTACTCAGGACGTAAAGTCAGAGGATTTCAGTTGAGAGTCCTGTTTCAGCTCTGTATCATCCTGCGCTTCTTAGGACCTTAATTCTCACCCATGAAATGGGGATAATAATTCTTATTGCACTTTGTGTGCGTGTGTGGGAAGGTTGGTCAGTTTTGGTTTTGCAATACTGGGATCACACCTGAGGCCTCATGCATGCTAGGGAAGTACACTGAGCTACATTCTCAGTCCTTTTTAGTTTTTTATTTATTTACTTTTTTCTTTTTTCTTTTTTTTGAGACAGGTTCTTGCTAAGTTTTTTAGGGCCTTGCTAAGTTTTTGAGGCTGGCCTTAAACTTAAGATCCTCCTGCCTCAGCCTTCCAACTCACAGGGATTTCAGGTGTGTGAGTTGGTGAGTTGGTGAGTTGGTGAGTGTGCCACCATGCCTGTCTTCCTTTTTAAATTTTTATATGATTTTGGTTTATTTATTTATTTGTTTAGTGGTACTAGGGATGAACCCAAGGATGCTCCACCACTGAGCTATATCCCCAGCTTTTTTTTTTTTTTTTTTTTTTTTTTTTTAAATTTTGAGACAGGGTCTTGCTAAGTTGCGGAGAGGTCCTCATATTTGAAATCTTCCTGCCTCAGTCTCCTGAGTAGCTGGAATGACAGGTGTGTACAGCACTCGACTGCACTGTTGTTTTAAAAACTAAAAAATTTAAATTGTCTAAAATGTTATGTAAAATATACAAATAAGTTAACTTATTTCTGAAAAACGAGCCAAGATCAGTTGTGCTGAGGAATGGTCAGGTGGAGGTGAGCTGTGGGCAGAGCAGGCCATGGCTCAGGGCAAGGTAGGGGTTGGCTGCCAAGGTGCATCGGGATCTGGGGACACCCTGGAGGAGGTTGGGAATGTTTGTTAGAAAAACTACATTTTTGCCCTGAATCTCGCAGTGAGAAGTACTGATTCACACCATGGATGAACGTTGAAAATGTTTTGCTCGGTGAAAGAAGACAGACGAACACAAAAAGGCAATATTAGATGGGTTTTTTTTTTTTTTTTTTGTATGAAATGTCCAGAGTTGGTAACTTCCCAGAGACAGAGAGAAGATGGGTAATTTCCAGCAGCTGGAGAGATGGAAGGATGGGGAATGATTTCCTGCCGGGTGCGGGGTTTTATCTGGGGGCCATGAAAATGTTTTGAAACTAGATAGAGGTGGAAGTTGTATGACATGTGAATGTCCCAAATGCCATGGAATTGTTTACTTTAAAAGTGGTTAATTTCATGTTATGTGACTTTCACCTCAATACAGAAAGAAAAAGAAAAAAGAGCCTATTCTGGGGAGTAGGCCACCAGCTGGGGACAGAAGGGTGCTACCATGTCCCTATTTGAGGACATGTACACCAAGGCCCAGAGGGGGCGAGAGCACTGCTGGAGGTCACATGGAGCTTAAGTGACAGAGCAGGATACATGTCCAAGTCTGTCTAAATTTAGGACCTATATATTTGTTGTCACTTCACCTTCCTTCTGGAACATTCTTCCCCTGGGGAGAGCCACATCCCTTCTACCAGCCACATCTGAGGGGGGGTTATTGGTTTCCATAAACAAAGGGGTGAATATCTCAGCAGGGCAAACTGGGCAGTCATTAGTGTGACCCTGAAACCCTCCCACAAGATGCCAGGAGGGCCTTGGCCACCCCACCTGGAATAGCTCAAGAGTTAATTTTTTATTTGTGATAAGCAACTGGGCTCAGTGACAGCTCCCTGAGTGACATTTCCTGTGGCTTGTCTGGCTTTCAAACATTAACCTCCCCCCCCCCAGGGAGAACCCAGCAGCTTATCCATTAACTCTGTGCCCCCAACGTGGAGTCTCACCGCCCAGCCCAGACACCAGACCAGAGCCATGGGGGGCACAGGACCTCCAACTGAGCTCCTGGGGGACCTGCTGTGGTCACAGGCCTGGGCGAGGGCGTGGGTGGATTTGCATCTGGGCACCTGTCCCTCAGCTCCTCCAGAATCTTCCAGGGGACCCAAGGGACACAGGCCTGATTCTGGTGCGGACCCCCCAGCACCTCTACGTTTTGTCAGTTCTCCTCTCTTCTTCCAGTCTTGCAGGGAGTTTTACTCTTGGCCACCACGTCTGGCCATCATACCCTTCCAGGTGGATCCCTGGGCCTCGCTTTCTCAACTCCTTGGCAGGGGAGGCCTGAAGACCTTTGTAGCTACAGGATCCAGGGACAGCCTCTACTTCTGGGGGTTTTAAATCATGTTTCAAAGCACCAGACCCCTTCTCCTCTGTGACAACGGCAGAAATTCAACAAGAAAAACAGTAACGGGAGCTCTTTGTGGAGAGGAAGCCCGGCCTGCCACCCTCCCACTCACTCCCCGGGGAATTGCGAGGCAGAACCCTGGAGGAAGTCTCTGCAGAGCTTTCTCAAACCTGGATGCACAATCAGGACCACATGATGAGCCTGAGGCAGAAGGGTGACCAGTCCTACTCATGGGTGTGCTGACAGCACCTGCACCCTGGACTTGGGAGACTGTGGTTCACAGGGGAGATGCCATCCATAGGCAGGGCTGAGTGTGCAGGTGGGTAGAGGGTCTAAGTGGACCCCAATCCACCATAGCCTAGTTTAGCCTGATCGCACACCATCAGAAGAACTCCCTGCTGTGAAAAGATGCCTGCTTTTGTATATTAATTCACTTATTTCCAACAAGAGTGTCATGAAGGCCATAGATCATTACCCCCACTGAAAACTGGGCAGGTTGAGGAGTGAAGGAGCAAGGCCTCTTCCCCGAGATCACCAGCGAGGAAGCAGCAGGGCTGAGGTTCCTGCCCTCTCCACCTGCTCCCAGCTGGCACTCAGCACCCGCACTCATCTCACCAGGCCTGACCAGCCTTCTCTTGCTGTCCCAAGAGTGAGTCTGCTCCTTGCATGGTGGGAGTCCAGCAGGATGTCAGGGTACCCAGAAGGTGAGCTGGAGGCCAGCCAATTGAGTCACCTCGTCCAAAGCCGGGGCAGGTGGAGCAGGCTCAGTGTTCCTCATGGAAGGATAGAGGAGTCCCACGTCAGGTCCTGAGAGCACTCCTCCAAGGGTGATCAGGGTTGGACTGCTCATCTCAGCCAATTCGTGACAGCCAGGCAAGCAAGAGACAGTCACGTCCTCTGTACGGGACCTTGGCTACCCTGAAGGTACTACCTCAGTTCCCACTCTCCTCCTGGGGCTGCCTCTCTGGTTTCTCCTTTCTCCCTGTTCTCGCTCAAGTGTGTGCACTCAGTAAGTCAGTCAACAAACCCACACACAGTACTTGATCTGTGCAGGTGCTGCATCAAGCTGGAGGAGAGGAAAACAACACATGTCCACCTTGGGCCAGGGCTGCACCCTAGGCTGGCCTTGTTGGGCCTTGCTTTCTGTCACACCAGACACAGTATCTGGGATGGTATGAGGACCCAGGGTATCAGGACACTCTGAGGGTCTCCCTCTCTGCCTCTGTCCCTCACGTGGTGGATGAGTGAATAGATATAAGCACATTTGCAACACCCACAGCACTTGGCTTCTGCCGCCTACGTTTCTTCCCACCTCTGGCTGCTCCTGGCACTAAGTGCTGGAGTGCTTGAGGCTCCTCCCCAGGCCCCCTCCTCTTCCCTCCCATGATCCGTCATTGTGCAGCTTCAGCTGCACTCGCCCTCGGTGCCTAAGTTCAACCCTGGCCTTGATCTCTGTCTTCAGTCTCTACTGAGCTTCTAAATCTGAATCTGCTCCCCCAGATACCTGACCTTGCTTCATCTTCCTCCAGATGCTCAAGGTAAATGCCTGGAGGACATCCCGGACTCACTTTTCCTCCCCTCCCTCCCCCCTGATCCAACTCATCGCCACCTCCCATCAACGTTACCCACCCAAGGACTCTGGCACGTACCTGCTCCTCTCCACCAGGGCCACCCCTGCAGAGCAGACCCTCTCCCGCCACACGTCCTTGGTCTCAATCTTCTCTGCATCTGCAGATATCACTGTCCGCTGAAGTCGGAAGCCGTGTGTGAATTATGGGTTTGTTGGAGCCATCACAGGGCAGGGGGGCTACTTTTCTGGGAACTCCTGGGTGAAATTCCCCCATTGGAGAAAGCCCAGGTCCTGCTGGTGCCCTGACCTAGCTCACAGCCCCAGGATCACACACAGCCACCCCGAGATGGGTGTAACCTGCCAAGCCCCAGACAACTTGTTTTCCCCATGAAGCCTGCCACACTAAAACATTGGATGGAGTCCCCCCTAAATAAAGGAGTTGGGCTTTTCCCCTATTTCAGTTCCAGTTCCTATCAGGGCTGGAAGACCCTCCAGGCACCCTGCTTTTGAAAACTATTTTCTGTCTATTGTCCTCTGTTCTTTATTGATTATTTTCAGACTTTTTCCCAGCTGGTTCACACCTCCACGCAGGAATCTGCTTTATCGGGGTGCTGGTAACCCCGGCACACTGATGGCCCCTGCGCTCCCTGATCTGAGGGCTTTCTCCAGCGGCTGGAGTCCACTAGTCCCCCAAGCACAGGAGGCTGGAAGTGCCAGGAAATTAATGCTGCTTCACTGCCTCTGAGTGCTAGGGAATTGGTGGCTAGTTACTCCAGCACCTTGGCCATGAATAAGTGTCCCACCTGGCTCCTTATGTGCCCCAGTGGGATTATACTCCAGGTGCCCACAGTGACAATAGTGTTCACCCAGTTCCTTCCCCGCTGGGTCTCAGGTCCCACATCCTACTGATCACCTGCTGCTGGGAACCCAAACAGAGACACCCTATTATAGTCCAGTGACCAGCAAATCTTACCCAGGGCAACAGCTTCCTAGTGGGTCTCTCTGAACCTACTCCCGTCCTTCCTCAGGCTGCGGCAAGGGGCATCTTCTCATAAGGCTGAGCGTCACACCACTCGCCTCTGCCTCTGCAGGGCTTCCCGTGGCTCTAGCAGTCAGGATGAGAATCCTCCTGGGTGCCAGCGCCCTGCTGCTCCCTGCATCCCTGTCCCTGGTAATGATCAGGCATGTTCAGAGCTCAGCTCAAACATCATCCCTCTGGAAAGCCCTCGTAGAGTCCCAGACCAGGTCAGGACCCTGGGCTCTCCACACAGGTGGAGTGGCACCCAGGCCTTACCTCATTGCCATTTTACATAGGTTTGTGATTAATGGATCCACGGTCCCCCAACCACACAGAGTCATGATGACTGCGGTGGAGCCTGCCCTTTGCTATTCTTCTCTTCTTTCTCACTAGCAGAACCTGGTTCAAGGTGGCCACATGCATAGCTAAACCTCTGGGTCTCCAGCCATCGTTGCAGCCAGGGGTGGCTGTGCGGTCTGGTTCTGCCAGCCACAAAGTGCAAGCAGAGCCTCCCCACCGCCCGAAAGTTTCAGGAGAGCCAGGCTTCTCCGTGAATCCCCACCCCAACTCCCGGCTGCTCTTTCTTTCCAGAAACACAGCAACTTTGCTTTCCTCCCCGGAGGTCCAGCAGCCCTTGAATGACCATGAGGACGAGAGCCACACATTCAGCCAAACAACAGAGGAATCTGGAAGATATGATATCTTGGAACTTTGTACTACCTCTGAGGTTTTTGTAATTTGCAACAAAGAAATCCCTATTTGGTGAAGTCGAAGTATCCAACTTCTTTTGCAAAATGCATTCCTAAGCAATGAGAGGGAGTTCCAGTTCCTCATCATTTATCCTTTGTTCTCCCCATTCCCATCTCATACCATTAAGTGCTAAGTAAATAGTTTTTGAATGATCAAACCCAGGACCTCGCACATGCTCGGTAAGCGCTCTACCACTGAGCTGTAGCCCCAGCCTAAATGAATGTTCTTAATTTCACACCAATCTCTTAAAATAGATGTGGAAGTTGAGGTCCAGAGACATTAAACAACTTAGGAGCCCATGGTCTAATTTAAAAGCTGGGGTTGGTTGGTTTCTTTTTTTCTTTTTAAATTGAAGTAAAATCACATAACATGAATTTAATTATTAACTATTTGAAGTGTGCCAGTGACATTTAGAACCTCATAATACAACATGCAGCCATCTCCTCTATGTAGTTCTAAAATATCTTCACCACCCCCTAAAGAAACCCCCGCACCCATCAAGCAATTTTTCCCCACAGCCCCTCCTCTCAGCCCATCAACTATGAATCTAATTCTGTCTCCATGGATTTACCTAATATAGACATTTCAAATAAATGGAATCATATGATGTGTGACCTTTTGTATTTGGATTATTTCAGTTAATACCATGTTTTTATGAATCATCTGTGTTCTAGCATGTGTGAGTACTTCATTTCTTCCCCCCTCCCCACTTAGTTTTGGGGATGGAACCCAGGACTTCACACATGCTAAGCAACTGCTCTACCACCACGCTACAACCCAGCCCCTCTCATTCTTTTTAAAGGCTGAATAATATTCCCTTACATGGATGGATCATATTTTGTTTATCCATTCACCCCCCTGATGGACATTTGGGTTATTTCCATCTCTTGGCTATTAAGAATAATGCTGCTATGAACATTTGGATACAGATGTTTTTTTAAGTACCTGCAATAGACTCTTTTCTTAAAGCTACATCCTTCAATAATAGAGAGTAAAGAAGAGTTTAGGAAGGGTATAGAAATACAATTAACACCTAAATATAAAACTCATAATATTTAGAGAGTTGATTAATAATAATTAATATTTAAATTACCAATAATTACAAAACATTTGTATTTTGCAAATTTTATCTCATTTATCATTATAATATTGAAGTAGATATTATCACCTCCATTCTATAGATCAAGAAATTGAGGCTGAGAATGTTAAATAATTTTTACATAGTCACACAGCAGTGAATGCTTGGAAGCATGGTACCCCGAGGGTTTCTGACCCCATACTGCCTTTCCTCGCTCATCAACCTGGTAGTGAAGGTGACCATATGGACAGGAGGCAAACAGCCTTACAAAGTGATTCCCACCAGACCCTTCCCTTGAGGCTGATGCTAGGAAAGCACTTGCTGCCCCCACATACCCGAGAAAGGAAAAGTGGATGCTGGTTTCTGTAGACTGCTCGCCAGTCCCCCAGCCCCAGTTGACTAAGTGAACAAAGCCAACCCAGTCCCCCACATCCCATCCTGGCCCAGAGGATGCAACCCCCCCCCCAGCCTGGTGGGTCAGGGCATGCAGATGTCATACCTGGTACTGGAAGCTGTGGGCTGACGTCTTCTCGCCTGTCCTTGGAGAGCTCCTGTAGGCATTGGTCCTGTTCCTCCTGCAGCAGCCGAAGCACGTCACACAGCTGGGGCAGGGCTCCAATCTATGAGTCCAAACCAAGGGTGCTCATCATCACTACTAGTCAATCCCACCACCCAAGGACTTAGTGTGAGCAAGAAGCCTCTAGAAGGAAAACTCAAGCCCACGGTGGTTAGGGGCTCTGACCGGGGTTGTACACCCAGGGCTCTGGATTTCAGCAAACAGCTTTCCAGGTGGTCAACGACAATATCTTAATCTCTCTTGTCATCCCTACTCTCTGTGTTTCACAGATGGAAGTTTCAACATGAAGGAGCAGGGGAAGAAGTCCCTGGAGATAAAGCTAAACTTGAAAATGGCCCAAATAAACAAAAGTCTGGGCCAAGAAGAAAAGCCAAGGTAGTGCTATATCCAAAGGCAAACATAAATGCTGCTCCAGTTAACTCCTATTTGGGGTCCTGAACATCGACTTACCCCTTCACTAATGCAGTCAGAAAGGCCCTACAGCTGTTAGCAACTCCTCCTCCTCCACTCCCTGACACCAAGTGATCAGGGTTGATGGTCCCCACGAAGCACACACATCACCTCTCCTGGCCCAGAGCCTGGGCCCAGCCACAGCCAGTTGCCACGGAGACACTGGGTCCGTCAGCTCTGACACCATATCATGCTCCTTCAGCCCTACATTTCCATTTTGTCTGACATGATATAGCAAATAACATTTCCCTCCGTAGTGTTAAGGGTCAAACCCAGGGCCCTAGGTGTGCTAGGCAAGTGCTCTACCACTGAGCCACATCTCCACCCCCTAGTGACTTAACTGGCTGTATTTAGACTCTTACCCTGAAACAAACCCAGCTGTCACCTGGTAGCCACACATGAGATTGGTTCTAGGTTCAGTCCCCACTTCCCTCAGGAAATCAAACCCCATGGAGGCTCGAGTCCCTTACATAAAATGACATGGTATTTGCATAGAGTCTACACACATCCTCTCTGGATTACTTAGAATACCTCATACAATGCAAGTGCTTGGTGGGTAGTCGTTAAGCTGAAGTTCAGAGAATGATGACCAGAAAAAGAGTATGTACCTGTTTACTATATACTCTTCTTTAAAAAATGTATTTTCAATCTGTGGATATGGAATCCATAGCTATGGAGGGCTGACTTTAGTTTACCTAAGAACACAGCAATTGTGTGGCAGTAAGTGGCACTCAGGCCCACACTCTGGGTCCTTGCGCTCTTTATCTTGGGGTCTCGCCCCGTCTTAGCTGAAGCCCGTCTTCTTCAGTACTCTCTGGCTTTTCAGAGGAGGTGATGGGAAGGTTTGCGTAGAAAAACCCACACAAGGTTGGCAGGCCCTGTCTTTCAGCTCATGGGGACTGTTGAGAATCACCCTGAGACTGACATCATTCTTCAAGGTGATAAAGGGTCGGATGGCCAGGACAGGTACAACCTTTTAGTGAATGTAAGGAATTCTATGTATTAAGTGTCAAGAAGTGCTCACACTCTTTGGTCAACTAACTATTTCCAGGAGTCCAACCCATATATGGGTAAAGCCATTTGTAGACAAATTATAATAGTTTTATATCTGATAGGAAACAAGACAGGTTCTGCTTTCAGGAAAATGGGTCAGATATACTACCCCTATGACTTCCAGTAAGTAAGTACAAATAAAACCCTGGACACCATCTTTAAAAGAAGATGACTCTGAAAGGTGGAGAGAGGAAGATGGAGGGCCAGAGGACTCAGGGCCTAAGGAAGGACAAGCTGCTGTTTTCCACCTCCTCTGTCACAGTCCTGGAGCGGCAGAAGTTTGGCCATGAGGCACCACCAGAGGCCCACGAAAACCCCAACAGAAGGCTCCTCTCTGTGGCCAAGGACCAAGGAAGCGGCTCCAAACAAGGCCCAAAAGGCTCTGGAACAGTGACTCCTCACTCCTGCAAAACACCAAAGAAGCCATCCCCCTGGAAAGGCCAGGAGGGGAGTCTGGACGTCCACCCCAGCCTTGGTGATGGGGATATCATGGGGTCAGCAAACCCTGGCTGAGGGTGTGGGGGTGTCCAAGAGGCCAAGGGGAGAGATGGAACTCCCATCCTGCTATGTGGTAACAAAGTTGCCCCCAGTCCATGACGTCAGTGGACAGATGGCACCCAACCCAGAAGCAGTGAGGTTCCCCCCAATCCCTCCCCAATAGTGTCAGAGAAGGCCCAGTGGAGAGTCAGGGTTTTCACCAGCACCCAGCGTTGATTAGGCCCCTCTAGTGCGGTGCTCGCGAAGACCATGTGGAAAACAGATATACCCACCCCATCCCATAACCAACAGCAGCCCCTAGGTGTCAGATGAGGCAGGTGAGGGAGCCGAACTTCTAATTTCTACCTGGCAGCAAGAAGGCAGTGCTCGCCCACCTTCACCTGGACAGAAAGAGGCAAATAAGAGAGAAACTTGAAATAAGAACTACAGTCTCGTAATACGAAAATGTCCAACTCCCAACCAAAGATTACTTGTCATATTGAGAACCAAGAAGATCTCCAAATAAATGGAAAAAGATTGCAAACACCAACTGTGAGAGGACAGAGCTCTGAGAATGACCTGATGAAGATTTTTAAAGTAGCCATCACAAAAATGCTTCAATGAGCTATTAGGAGCACACTTGAAAGGAATGTAAGAATACAAACTGAGAAGGGAAGAAGGAAGGAAGACGGAAGAAGGAAAAAAGTAACAGCAAAATAAAAACAGAAAATAGGAAAATTAGAGAAGAATCAAGTAGGAATTTTAGAATTAAAAAAAATCAAATTTTAAAATTCAGTAGAAGGAGCAGAACAGTGGTCATGGTGATGGTGGAGAGGAGAGAGAATCAGTGACGAGAAGATAAAACAATAAACATCACCCTGCTAAACAACAGAGGAAAATAAACTGACTATGAAAATAATCAGATCCCTAGGAACCTGGGACAGGGGACTATGAAGAATATGTAATGTTCGTTGTTTTTTTTTTTAGGAATTTAAGAAAGGCAAAACACATACATTTACATGTTCAACAAGCTGAATAAACCCCAAAGAGATTAAATCTAAAGAAATTCAAACTAAGGTATGCTGTGATTTTTGAAAAGTAAAGACTAAAATAATAATAATAATAATAATAACCCCAAACAAACAAACAAAAACCAACAAATATGGAAAATAGCTAAAGAAAAACTACACCATCTGCAGGGGAAAAGCAATTAGAATGAACACTGATTTCCCATGGGGAACCAGAGTCGGAAAACAGTGACTCAATATTTTTCAGGAACTTTTAGAAGAAAAGAACTGTTAAGCCTGAATCTATATTCAGTAAAAAAAAAAAAAAAAAAATCCTAGTAATGGAGAGAAGATTAAGACACGCTTAGATAAGAAAAGCTGAAAGAATTTGTTGCCAGCAGATCTACTTTGAAAGAATGGCAGAAGGAAATTCTCTACACAGAAGGGAAAAGCTAAGAGAAAGAAAGGAAGAGACCAGTAAGCAAAAATGTGGGCAAATGCTTTCCTTCTCTTCAGTTTTATAAATAGGAAATGGTCCAAGCAAAGATTAAAACACTATTGTTATTATTCCAAATGCAGGTAGAGAAAATAAATTTAAGACTAGTATGCTATAAACAGGAGATGGTGAAGGGACGTAAATAGAAGAAATAGTCTGTACTTCACTTGAACCAGTAAAAGGGTAATGCCAGTAGACTGTGAGAACACATGGGTATACAAAGTAATACTTAGAGCAATCAATAAAACAACTATGTGAAGAGCTACATACAAACACACAATAGATGAATCAAAATAGAATTTTAAAAATTGTTCCAGCAGCCCACAGGAAGACAAAAAAAATAAACAAAGAAATGAAAAGTTTAAATAAAAAATAAAATGGCATACTTAAGGCTTCACCCATCAATAATAACCTCAAATGTAAGTGGCCTAAATATAACAATTAAGAGAGATATTGGTATATTGGGTTTAAAAAATATAATTAAGCTATATATTGGCTATAAGAAAATCACTTTAAATAAAATGATATATAGGCAGATTAAAAGGATATAATATGATAAATGATGCAAACATCGATCAAAGAAAGTAAGAGTGAATATATTAATATTAGATAAAGTGGAATGAAGAGAAAATACAAGGACCAGAGATGGAGAGGGATTCTGAATAATGATAAAAAAAAAAGACAATCTATCCAAAACACATGGCAATCCTAAGTGTGTATGCACCAAACACCCAAACTGTGAAATATGCAAAGCAAAAGCTCATAGAATCAGAAGGAGAAATAGACAAATCTGCAGTTTTACGTTGGAGACTACATACCCTTCTCTCAATAATTGATAGGACAACTAGGAAGTCAACAAGGATATAGAAAATACTGTCCATCAACACAACCTAATCAACATTTACGGGATAACTTGGATCCACATTGTGTTCGTCCGATTGCCATCACTGCAACAAAAAGATGGTAAAAATTAACTTCTAAAGAGAAGGTTTGTTGACTCAGTTTTGGAGGTTTCAGTCCCTAAGCAGTTGGCCTTGTTGCTGAGGGCCTGTGGAGGTACCTCATGGTCAAAGTGCAGGGTAGAGCAACCCATCCACCTCATGATTGGAAATGAAAGAGAGAGGGGAAGAGGAAGGGTCTGGGGTCCCACTGTCCCCTTCCAGGGCACGCCTCCAGTGACTGCAAGACCTCCCACTAGCTCCACTTCTTCAAGTTTCTTCCACCTCCCCATGGCGCAAGCTGAGGACTAAAGCTTTAACACATGGGCTTTGGGGAAACATTCCAGATCTAAATGAGAGCACACTTAGAATTAGTTTAAAAATAAAATAACTGCTTAGATGTGGTTCTAACAAACATAGAGCTTGTATCCTGAAAACTATATGATGATGATGAAAGAACTCAAAGATTTAAAAGAAGAGTGGAGGCATACAGATGCTCCTCCACTTACGAGGGGTTTACAGTCCCAATAAATTGACAATATTGTAAAGAGCATTTAATGTCTAATCTGCCGAGTATCTAGCTCAGCTCCACAGTGCACTGCAGAGGGCTGGTGGCTTCCCC